AGTCTATCATTTCTTATATTCCCTTTTCTTATGGGGGACTTTATGTTCCTTTGTTTGTTCTGGTTCTGACATGCTGCGTCTTCAAAATGGAATTACAATGCTATGCACAGCAAATGAGCCAATGTAGCCACAACTGTTATACCAATGTTGGTAGGCTATTTTAAAGGTGACATGCACTTGATTTAAAATGCCTTCTTGAGGGAATATGACAGTTGATCTTGTATATGACCAAAATTTGGAAATCATCTATGCCAGGAGTATAAATAGAAAGACATCCTCCTACCTCTGTGCAAGAACATGCAGCCACTCAGATAAGATCAGACTGTTAGCCTGATTGTTGTTTTATAGCGCAATTTTTGTAGGAACTTTAAATTTGTACTCTCTTAAATTAATCACTGCAAAAATATATATCAATTGGGGAATGCTACTGTTTCAAGTTAAAACATTCAGGACCCATCCAGTACTAGTACATTTGTAAATGATGGCTCAGAAATACAGGTAAAGAGGCTTTTTTATTTTTCTCAAAAGGTTTGGAGCTGGGACTTTGTGTGAGGTGACAGACTGGAGCACTCTGCACTTCAGTCTGGGCTTTAAACTGAGTAGACAATGCCAAAGTGTGTCAGTACCTGTGTGTGTGCAAAGCAATGTTTCTGGAGTTTGTTTGGTTCTGCTTCCATTTCCTGAGGGTCTGTTGGAGTTCATGGCCGTGTTGCTGTTGGATCTTTCCATTTTGTGTTTACATGAACATATTAGAGAAACGCAGCTAGCTATCGTGTAGTTATTCATTGTTAAAGCTCATCAGAATCTTTTGCTGTATTTCCAAATTCTTGCAGTAATACAGCATCAATAAAATATACTCTGATACAGATGCTGCACAATTTTCCATCATCATTAACGCCTTTGATCAGACATTGTCTCATTCAAATCATATAGGGTTATGGCTAGGCTATATAAGTAGCGTACTTAACAGTGCATAATATGTATGGGTCAAGGCATCAGGTTAAAAAACTTAACTTAAATATCCGAGCCAAATAAAAAAAATGACTCGAATGATAAAGCCACAGTTTTATGCCCCACCAAGCCAGTAAAGTCAAGTTGAAGATTTTGAATTAATTTGCTTAAATTAATGTATAGTTCCCTGTGAGAATACAAATGATCTAAATATTGACATGAACAAATTCACTAAAGACTTCCCAGTGAAAAACTTGATGGCTTCACTTGAGGCAATTTTTTCTGACACAATCATCTTGACTTTTGAGCATGAAAATCTAATCAGATCATCTTTGAGTTCGTGTGGGTGCTTGTGGCTAATGTGAACAAATTCTCTCAAGATTTGACATTCACAAAAACAGACACAGGTGAGGTCACACTGACATTAACCTTTTATCAACTACATCATAAAAGGCCATACTGAGATCCAAGTGGACATTTTTGAAAATGTTGACGAAATTATCTAAGACGTTATAATGAGAATATTTGCATTTATATCAATGATACGTGTAGTCCACCCGAATGAAAACATAACATAAGAGCAGAGAACAACATACTGGCAAACAGAAAACGTAATGCAGCATTTTAATTACATGCACAGAGATCGTAGTGGACTTGTGCATACATTCTATGCACCGGAAACTATTGCAGCGGAAACAGTATATAGAAGTCTCTCCCTCTCCTATTGGCTCGAGCTGAATTCTCCAGAGAATATCCTGCGGTGTTCTCTGTTTGCATTCACATATACAGCTACTCCTGGAAATAGTTTTTCAGGAGATTTCTGCAAGTGTGAGAGCCCTTTAAAATACAATACATACACACAAAGAGTAAGACCTAGGCCTGCTGTTTTGTAAAGTGTCTTGGGATAACATTTGTTATGAACTGGCGCTATACAAATAAAGGTCAATTGATTGTGGATATTATATGTTCAATGTGCACAATGTACAAACAACTCAAATACCATAACTATCACCAGCATGAAGACTTATAAAAAGTTTTGTTAGAACATGTGTTTGCAATCATTTTAACACATGTTTGGATGTAAAGTGTAAATGCTTAATTTGTTGTCAATAAACACTTCTATCTCAAAGAGTAAACTGGATATGTATGTACTACTTTTTGAAGAGAGATATTTTGCCATGACACTAGATATGTAAAAACTTTTTAACATCGTAAGTGACCGTTCCTAAAGAGACAAAATTTTTGACTGCCATCACACAGAAATTAATATCTTGGCCTCTACAGACACGTTGTGGACCAATCTGCTGTAAGTTAGCAGAGATGGACTGATACAAAGTAATTATTACTTTCTTGAAATATACCTTTATGTTCATGTTTCTGGGGGTACAAACATTACAAACTAGTCTCTAAACCTGTGAACTAGAACCTGTGGCCCTGCTCAAATGAGTAAAATATAAAAAAATAATTATTATTATAGAACTTGTATTCACAGCACTTTTATGTAACCCTCACCTATGGTCATGAGCTATGGGTAGTGACTGAAATGCGTTTCCTACGTCAGGTGGCTGGGCTTAACCTTAGGGATAGGTTGAGGAGCTCAGACATTCAAGAGGAGCGTTGATTAGATCTGCTACTCCTTTGCATCCTCCTCCTTGGAAGAGTTAAGGGATAGATGGAGCATAATCTAGCCAAGTGGGAGCACATAGAGGGAAAATAAAAGCAGTCCCAGTATTTATCATTATGTTACTTTATATTGAGGAGTGAGGTCAACAACGGTCAGCGAAAGACAAAAAAATAATAGAAAGGAACACAAGTACCTCAGAGCTGTCTCAGACAGTGAAGTGCTGCAGCCTCTCAATAATACTTTTGTGGTCAGCTTTATCAAAATCTGCACTTCAGCAGCGTACACCAGTGTAAGTCATTCATAAAAGATTATTAGTTACACCAGATAAAAGAACAAAAGGCCAGCATACAGAAGTGGCCAACTTGTCAGCACAGGCTTCTGCAATCAGTGGAATTTCAGTGGAAATGTACAACAAACATCTCAAGAATTATGCAAGTTCATGCAACTTTTTCATAGCTTAAGGTTCAGTAAAGCATGGCTCACACTGCAAGAGTTTTAAAATCCTTCCGGATTTTGATTTCAGGTAGCGCCACACACAGAATCTTAACTGATATTCTTCTTCATAATCTAAAACATGCTCACACTAGATATGAAAATCTTGGCACATCACAGACTACACGATTTCATTCAAGATTATCGTGCCTGACGGAGGAACCCACCACCTAACATGACAATTGAGCCGGTAGTTACATTTTCAATTATAATGCTCTGTGCAGAGAGGGAAAAGAAAAACAACAACAAACAAACAAGTTTTGGGTGAAAAAATGTCTGGGGAGACATGGACAAGATGGGTTGTTTGTTCTTCAGTAAGAGCTGGAGGTCAGATTATTACTGTGAGATGCATTACAGTTATCCAGCGCACCCGTACGGGTTGTGTCCTGCCACCAGTTGCCACTACTGTCCACTTAGGCTATTATTTTCCTCCCTTGTCACCTCAAATCGGCCCGATTATCCTGTAATCTGAACCAGGCTTAAGATAACGCGACATGGTGTCCATGCAAATTCCCTTATGTTTAAATTCCCGCCTGCTGATTTGAATTCATCATAGCCTTATCTGTGCAGTGAGTTCACCAAAGAAGCAGCTTCAGGCAGTGAACAAGGGATGATTATATATGAGTTATAGGAACATGTAGTGTGTTCTTATAAGGTTCTTTAACAAAACAAACACGTGAATTAATGACACACACAACTTCCTGAGAGCCTACTTCTGAGAACTGATATCACAGTGGACATGAAGATTAAGACATGCATTTCCCAAAATAGAGATTTAGCTGATATTTGGTTTCATTATCGTCTCATCTTCTTCTTATATAAGTACCAAAAATTCACATGCAACCTTTCAATCTAATTTTATGATGGAGGACATAACTGCATTTCTTTTTGGACTACAACATGGGGCCCTTATAAAGAGAACAGGTGATATTAACTGGATGAAGCCGTAGCCCCCCCTTGCTTGACCAATGGTTACAAAAAATTAAACATTATGTACACAATGGAACAAATGACGGCCCAGCTACAACTGAGACTGCCTGTTTTCAAAAGGAGAAGGATAGCAGTTACTGACTACTTCACTTATGACTTTTCTGTTTGATCTTTTTGTTGTATTTATCTGTAGGTAGGTAGGTACGTATATGTCACTCTATGTGTGTGTATGCTTATGCAGATGTAGTCTACATATATGTATAATTACTTCTATAGGTATATCATGTTTGGATGTTTATGTCAAATGAAGCCCAATCTCAATGTTATACTGTTCTCATTTGTAACTGTTAATTGCCTGTTATATTGAAACATTGGCAATAAAGTCATTAACAAAATAAATATAGAGAACAGGTATTAACTAAGACAATGCATTCTTAATGTCACTGTCGGGGGATATATTTCTGTTATCCAAAAAGCTTGTAAGAAGACAAATTGTTGAAGTAAAAAGTCTGACATGATGAGAAATGTTCCTGGTTGTTAGAGTTCTTGTTGGATCTTAACTAGCCAGAGTCAAAGTTTCTAAAAGGTAAACACACAATGAGCTCCACAAAAAAATTGTTAGATTTAAATAAGTCAACAACTTCCTGTTTTTGTCTTGTGGAACAGATTTTTTTATTGAATGTCATAGTATTATTAAAATGTAATGAGCTAGACTGTGATATAATATTTCATTTTGTCAAATTTACAATACATAGGACCTTCTCTCACATCCTAAAAGCTGACATGCTAACCACTTCATTGTACAGGTAAAGCTTTTATTGATCAGAAGATTAGAAAGTTAAGAAAAGTATAAAGTGTATTTAACTGTCAAGAATAACAACATAGCTAAACAAATAAAGTTTTGTGAGAAATACATTTGTTCTAAAGTGAGAGTGGATTTTGTTCTGATTTCTCCTCATTCTCTCTTCCTCCATCGAGCTTACTGTCAAAATGTTGTCAACATTCATACTGTTGATATGTTGGTGTCAGTGTTGGCAACTCTGCAACAGTTCACAGTGGTAAAAAGCTTACTAATTGACGCTTTCCTAAAGAAAACATACAGAATTAAGTCTGCAAGAGGACTCAGCTTAGCAAACATGAAAGCTAGGTCAGTCAGAGTTCTGTCAGATCTGTTGTTCATGTTCAGGAATAAAATTATGCTGGGCAGGAACAGCAGTGTGTAAATGAGCAGCACCAGGACCAAAATTCCAACAATTCGTTGTTTTTCTTCAGAGGGGACGGAGACGGAAGCAGAGAGGGCTCTGAGGGTCCCAACCAGGAAGAATATGAACAGTAGGAAGGGAAGGATTAGGAAAATGGCGAAGATGCTTCCTGCCACATCAAAAGTAAACCAGGGAAACACTGTGAGGAAAAAGACAGGAGGTATGAGCCAGGCTACAACACTGACCACCACAGAGTTCTTGATGGTCCGTTTGAAGCGGTACCACAGTGGGTGGGCGATGATCAAATACCTGCAATAAAAGATGGACACGTTGTCTTTGAGGAGGTACAGAACAAGTCAGAATCAGACGTAGCTACAGGACGTATAGTTACCTTTCCAGTGAGACACACACCATGAAGTCAACACTGATCCATAGACCACAAGAGTAGATATCATATACAATGGTCTGATCCAGTTTTGTCTCCACAATGAGCATGCAGCAGAGCTGAATGAGGTCAGAAATAAGAAGGTTGATGACGTAGATTGGAGCCTCATGATCCTTTCGTACCTGCAGAAAAACATATGAAGTAGACAATCAGTTATAAACATGTTCTGAACTCATCCTTCTCCCAAAAATAACACCTTTTTCTGCCCAACTATTGCAGTAAAGGACATATTTTTCATCCATCTCTCATTGTGCTATCAAAGACGTAACACAAATGACACACTGATATATCTGCAGACATGGAGCTATACTTTTTATTAAAGTTTTGTTAAAAGCAGCTCAAGTTCGAATCCGACCTGTGGCTCCTTCCCAGCATGTCGTTCCCAACTTTCTCTCTCTTTCAGATTTCTAACTCTGTCCAATCTCCTATCTCTAAAATATAAAGGCATGAAAAGCCCAAAAATAATCTTTAAATGACATATAACACTCATGGGATCTCGATGTGCTATAAAAAAGATTGTGATGCAGGTTGGCCTACTGTTTGCTATTAGGTCAGCTCATATTAGCATGTAAGCACACAAAAGTCTGCTTTATTCTTGAAGTAGCATTAAATACAAATACAAAGAACAGCTGGAGTTTATAATAATGGCATTACTTTTGCTGGTTGTCAGTCATAAACCAAATTGATTAATTTGACCTGATGATGAGGCCAAATTAAAATTAAAAAAAACAAGGGATCACAAAAGATTCAGCCTCTGCCCACCATTAATGTTTGTACTGTATTTTCTGGTCGCTGCACACAGTAGTTAATGAGTAATTCCACAGAAAGAAGTTGATCAATTTGTATCGTTTAAGGAAAAGGAACACTAATACTTATACAATGTTTCCATTTCCTTGATTGTTTTTTTTCTTCAAAAAAACATGGGCTAAATAATTAACAAGTTTAAGAGAAACTGCAAAAACGAATCTCCATTTTTTAAGTTAAATACCAATTATCTATTTAAATAATTTCTAAATTAATTGTACAAGTCTTTACAACACCCTCCAAGTCAACTGAAACCTTGCCCCTGAGCCTGATCCCTATGGAGGGGCAGCAGGGATTTGCTGAAGATGCCGCTGATGGGGGGAAACAAGTGGGAGCAATTAGCAGAGAATTCAGACTGTGCTCCAGTCCATTTACCTTGCAAACATCTACTTATTTAGCAAACAAGATGGACAAACTGCTGCTCCTGACAGAACAAATACAGACTTTTGCAGATCCACTTCCCTGTGTTTCACTGAAACCTGACTCAGTGAACACCTCCTAGACAGCCCACTGCACCTCCCGGACTTTTAGCTCTTATCATCCTCCTCATGTGACATTAATCTATGCACACTGCTTTAATACAGTAAGAACTGTCTACCTCTCGTAAACTGATTGTTGATCTGATTCTGAGACTGTTCAACAAACACATGGCACAGACAGTAAATGAATAAAGTCATGTAATGTACATACCAGAGAGAAAAGAGCATAGATGGTCATGAGCATCAGAGGAAGGCTGATACTGATGATGATGCATGTTACCACATGCATTATGAAATTGACTTTTTGGTAATACTCATACTGCAAGAAGTATGACTCGAATTCGATGTAATTATAGCTGTCATTCACGAGGGTGACGTTATCTGTCATTCTTCAGATTGAAACCTAGAGTTAAAGAGATCAAAACATAGGAAGTTTTTAAGAAAATGTGTTGCACAGTGACATAAATGAAGTGATGATCAGCACTAATAAAAAAATGTAACAGGGAGTCATTTACTTTGTTTTTTCTGTATGTCTAAAAGCTGATGATTGTTAAATAGCTTTGTCAAAGCATTTTTTTACATCAATTTCTATGTTTTAAATGATTCCTTTTTATTTGGATACAGACAGAGTGACATCTAAAAGGATGATTCATTGGTCAGGACTGCTGAATACGTTTAACATGGGGCTTTCATGGGGCTTTCATCATCATCATCATCTTTACTCGAGTCAATATAATTTTAACAGATATGAATTGAACTTCAGGAAAACACCAGATCTTTGATTTCCTCAAGTCAAATACAAGTTAAATCACACTGAGTCAAAGTCAAATATTAAGTCTTTATTTTATTATATCAAATGTTCTTAGTTGATCAAACATTTTAATATTTTTATTTTGAATTTGTAACCAAACATAGAATTACTTTCAGTTAAGCAACAACAATAGCAAATCAAAACAAAGTGTCTCTTTTAGACGTTTCAAATATCACAACCTGCTAACCTGCCCTGATTCTGCATCTGATTCATCTATGTCATTAGATCATTTAACTCTAAGTCGCAGGGAGAGTTTCATAGATAACCACAAAACTCTTCTTCACACCTCAGCTGCTGTCATTTCCTGGAAAATTAAAACATTTCTAGAAATACATCTCAGTGAGTTATGTTGGTTTGGAACAAAGAACAAGGAAACAATGTGTGATTATATCAAGAGAAAAAAATAATAATCATATGTTAAAAAGCTTTTGTCTTTGTTTTTAATGCAAACACATGCTTGTCATTTTAACAAATAACAGAGTAACCACCCCCACCAAACAATAACATATCCTTAATATAGCATCACGTTTATATTTATTCTCAGGATTGTTTGCACTTCCTTTTCTTTTCAATTGTATTTGTAATAAGACCACAAGACTGACATTTTAAAGTTACCAGATCTCACCTGAATGAAGTCCCAGCACCAATGTCTGATGTTTCTCTGCAGCCAAACTGTCTAAAGTGATTTAGATAAGTGGTGGTACACACTTGGTTACTGATAATATAACACATCTCTTCTCAGGAAGTGAGAAAAAAAAGAGTCAGGCATGATAACGTATCTAGTGAGGGAGGAAGAAATTGCAACACAAGCAGAAACTGTTTGAGATTAGAAAAGCAGATACCTTCTTTACATTTGATCATAGAACTAGCAGAAGTCGTAGTAGCTGTGGTAGAATTAGTTTATTTTTTCTACATGTCATGGGGGGCCCAGCCGGCCAGCTCAAATGGGATTACAAGACATTAACTCCTAACCCTAACCCTAACCCTAACCCTAAAACAAGCCAGCGATTACTACTATGCGTCTGGGCTTAATTTTACCTAAATCAAACATAACTTATCCTCTTCCACAACTGGAAATCATTCAACACAAACTGAGCATGTTGAAAGACTCTGCACATTTGCTCTTTGCGGTGTCACAACAAACTGGTGATATATACATAACAAATGAGGCACAAAAAACAAACAGACAAGGTCAGGACAACGACTCCAAAATACAGTAAAAAATAAAATAAAACAAATAAAGACAGCAAAATACTAAGACATCAATAGACACACATCAGACTACGAACAGAAAAACTACAAAACTATATGAAATACCTGAGAAGGGATATAGGAAGTGAGAGAAGCGATACAGAGAAAGAGAGAAGGGGAGAGAGAGAAGGTGCTTTGTAAGGGGGACTTGAGAGGTAGAAGAGAGTTGAGGAGTTGAGCAAAGGTATGTGTTGAATATGTTGATGTTAAACAATGTTGTGGTGTGAGATGTGAGAGTTTGTGTAATGATTATGTTTTAGCAGAAGTTGACTGCAGCCGGGGATTTGGGTTTGGTTTGAGCGTTATTTGATTGGAGGGGAGGATGGAGGGAGAGGCAAAGCTATTATTTTTCTTTTCTTTTCTTTGGCCGGGTCCTGCAGCAGCAGCCCCCAGACCCTCAGGAAGGGACTTGTCGCTTGCAGGACCCGGCCTGTTCAGAGAGCACACAAGAGGACGGCCACCAGACACAGCAGAGGGAAGCCCGCCCCCCCAAATGCAGTAGCTGTTATATTGCTGTTTAAAGAGCACACACTTGAGAGGGAGGGACCACCAGACCCAGAGGAGGTAGCCCCAAAAGGAATAAAGGGAATAACATTGTAAATCAAAATCTAAATAAATAAAACCAGTAAAAAGAACAAAAAAATCAATCAATAAATAATTATGTAAATGACAAGAAAATAAAGATACTATGTTTCGTATCTAATAATGATTATAATAAAATTAAGTAAAAAAAAATAATAATAATAATAGTATGTCGCAGTTCAAGAAAGATTAAATATCGACGGCAACATTATACAATATATTTTGAACAGGTCTGCTTTATAGCCTTCTGAAACCAGCCTGCTCAGGTGTGCTGCATAACCAAGAACTTCCACTAGATACGTGTGCATTGTGTGTCTGCTCCGGTCTGTTACGGCTCCGTGCACCCTCGTCCGTCAACACCCTCCGGCTGCTTGCTCCATCCGAAGCAAGGAGAGCACAGCGGGACAGCTGGAGTGCAGAGACAAAGGAATTCCCACTAAATTCCTCTGGACTGCCGGAGCTGAGACGGAGCTGAGACACTGCGCAGCGGAGCAAGTAGAAGCACACACCTTGAATAAAGTGAAACCTATCAGCAGCGGAGACAGACCGAACACGCACCTGGTGGAAGTGTGCTGTTAGAGAGTCCTCTCAGACTCCTCCCACATTGTCCTGCAACAAGGGGTACATCTCAGTTCCCTTAATTGCATCCATGAATCCCTCACTTGCCTCCTCAACTTGCGTCTTAGTCCCTCCCTCCAGAGATGCAAGGAAACGAAACAGAGTTAAGAGGGAACTAGGAAATACGTTTTAAGAGACATGCATGATGACATTGGTATTTCCTCTTTCTTTTACCTTCAACCACGCTTGAATTTTGTGCATTTCGTTGACATTCGTTCGTGTGACATGGCAGCACTTGACCAAACCTCTGAGCAGTAGTCCAACTGAGATAAGACAATTGTTTAAATATCTCGTTCCATGACATTTGGAGGTAAAATATTACAACATCTCCTTATAACTGAAAGACCCCTCCCCATTTTACTGATCACACTGTCAATGTGTTTAGACCAGGGGGACTTGTTATCAACTATTATACCAAGAATTTTGGTTTCTTGAACTTGTTCAACTGCCCCATCATTTACATACAGCTTTAGTTTTGGCTCGTTCATTATCAGATATTTTGTCCCAAATACAATGCTTTTAGTTTTAGAGATGTTAAGAACCAATCTGTTATTTACTATCCATTTAATTACTCAGTGCAATTCATCTTCAATGCACCTGAGAAGTTCATCAGTTGTGGTTTCGGCAGTGTATATAGTTGAGTCACCAGTGTACATTGCTATTTTTGCTTTGTTTAGGAACAGAGATTAATTCATTTGTAAATACAGATTAAAACAATGGACCCAAGCAGCTACCCTGCGCAATCCCACAATTGATCGATTTTACATCAGAAAGGCATCCATTAAGGAATACTGTCTGTTTTCTATTCATAAAATAGCTTTCTAACCAAAGTAAAGCAGATGGCCCAAAACTATAGCCTTTTCATTTTGTAATAACAAATCATGATCAATTATTTCTAAAGCTGCACTGAAATCCAATAGAACAGCACCTACCAAGTTCTTATTATCTATTTCTCTGCGCCAATCAGCCGTCATTTGAGTAAGGGCTGTACTAGTGGAATATCCTTGTCTATAAGTGTGCTGAAAAGTGGTGTTCAAATCATTAACTGAAAAGTAGTCTTGTATCTGTTCAAAAGCAATCCTTTCAATGATCTTACTTACAGCAGGTAGCAGACTAATAGGTCGGCTATTAGGGCCACAGAATGATACTGCTGCACTTTTGGGTAATGGAATAATCTTTGCAGTTTTCCAAGCTTGTGGATATACACACTTTTCCTAACTTAAATTCCACACATGGCATATGGAAATGCCTATCAAGTTTGCTAGCATTTTCAAAAGTTTTTTGTCCAAATTATCAACACCAGCTGGTTTGTCTTTCCATTCAAAAACCAGCTTTTTTACTTTGCTCACAGTAACTTTTGTAAATTCAAATTTGCAGTTTTTGCCTGAAATGATATGATCTTTTATAAGAGCATATGATTGTATGATATTTTTTGACCCATCTCGTCCCTCAGTTTGTTCATTGGTCATAAAAATAATTGTTGAGGTGATTGGCAATATTGAGTGGCTTGGTTATAAAATGTCCTTGTGATTCCAGAAATTGCGGAATTGAAATGGATTTCCTGCCTAACATATCATTTAATTTAAATGTTCCACATTGTTTTACTAACATGCTTTATATTATTAATCATATTTTCAATTTTTTTTCCCTCTTATTCAACTTGGTTACATGATTTCTTAGCTTGCGGTAAATTTGCCAATCAGATTCATGATTTGAGTTGTTTGCTATTTTCTTTGCCTGATCTCTCTGTATCATACAGTCCTTCAATTCATCAGCATCCAAAGGGATCTAATATTTCTTACGGTTCTTTTTTTCACTGGTGCATGCTTATCAATGGTTTCCAAAAATAATTTGTTAAAAGCTTCAATAGCTTCATCTGGATCATTCTTCATCAGTACATTAACAGTCTTCACTGAAATAATTGTATTATCACTTTTTGGGTCCAGCTTTAAGGATCTTTGTTTTCCTCACTGTTGCAACTAAGTTATGATCACTACAGCCAATTGGTATCATATGACTTTTGTGCACTCTGCTGAGTTAGTAAAGATATGACATAT